GCTGCCCATGAGGCAGAAACTTGCCATGCACAGCTGCACAGACGAGCTGCACACAGGGACTGCTTCACGTACACCAAGCAGAGGTTCTGACCTTTCTCCCAGGGCAGGCATTTCTCCAATGGAGTATCTGACAGGTGGCCAAACTAGGGACAAGCCTATTCCTCATATGACAGCCATCCCCAGCAGATGGATGCTGGATTTCCCAAACTCCTCCCTCCAGCTCACCTGGGATCTCATAGTTTCTTTGAGGCAATAGTTACCTTCCCAGGCAGACATTAACCATGAAGGGAGAAAAAAAATTAAAAGGTGGCCTTTTCTTACCAACTGACCTAAAAAGAACAAGCATGTCCACCCCATCGGGTTTGCTGTCAAAAATTATCACACCAAAGAGACTATCAATACCCTGTAGTTGTTTATACAATGAGCCTGTGGTTAGCAACATTCAGCTTTGTTTTATTATTGCATTTTACAAAGTTACCAAGACAACTGAGGCAAACTGACAGAACCTTGACTTCATGCGCCATGAAAATTTAATCAAGACTTTTTAAAGGCTTTTAAGAGGCAGGAGCTGCAGCTTAAAGGCAGAGCTGGGTACGGGGTAGAGGGTGGCTTGAGCCTGTGGGAGTCTCACCAGACCTCCAGGAGCCTCCCCTGCCAAGGCTGATAGGTTGGCATCAGTGTTCCCTGGCATCTGCGTTTCAGCATATGGAGACCATGCCTTTTCTCAACAGACATTTATGAAGATACCTCTCTGGTGACAAGTCCCATACCAGGCTCTGTGCATCCATTTTGACATGATCTCTGCTGTACAAGCAAGGAATAGGGGAAAGGAAATCACTGGTCCATGGTCACTTAGAGAGATTGCAACAGACAGAGAAAAATCCAGATCCAGGTCTGACTACAAAGCCCTTGATCTTTCCAGAAGAGCTACAGCCTCCTCTGGGCTTTCCCATTCTGATGCAAGATGTTCTGTGGGGAAAATATTCCTACAGCCTGAGTGGGGCCTGGGGGAGCTGCAGTGGTCCCAGACTTCCATCCTGGTTGGAATCTTAGCCAACAACTTCCTTAGTGTGGGAGGAAATGTGTTTCCTAGGAGCCTCTTGGTGAGGAGCCATACACCAGGGCTGTGGACTCAGAAGCAAATTGCCAGAAATGAGAAAATCAGTAGTGGTTTACCATTTTATACGAAAGCACTCAGCTGTGCTCAGTGATGTGGTGTGTGCGTGTGTGTGTGTGTGTGTGTGTGTGTGTGTGTGTGTCTGTGGTCTGTAAGTGTGAGCACTAAGCTGCATGGTTTTTCTAGTTACAGCAAAAAGCAAGACTTTTGGTTACAAGCAATGAAAGCAATTGAATATGTTGACTATTCTGCAGAGTTCCCTTGTCTCTGAGAATAGAAAAAACGGACTTATTTTGTATCAGAGAAATTCACATGCCATGGGGGAAAATTTCCAACAAGCCAAATAGGAGACTGGCGAACGTATCAATGGAGATGAGGTGGATTTTAGGCAAATGCACATTGTGAATGTCCCTCAGTGAGGGACAGCTCCCCCAGCCCCTGGGAACACCAGCTCCGGGAGAGTTTGTAGTTTCCAAGCTTGGAGAGAAGGTGCTCAAATGTGGACCGTGGCATGCCTGGTTCTATAGGACGAAGAGTATAGCACATTAATCCAAAAAGGAAAGAAAAAAAATTGAGGTATTTTGGAGCAGCATTCTGCCAATCATGAGGCAAATTCCAGATGTCGGAGGAGTGGCGGGGACCATTTTTCAGCCTGTGAATGTCTTTAAATATGAGAGTGAGCAGGGAAGGAGAGGAGCTGACCATTTGGCTTCATTTGTCTTGACAGATGACATTACTCAAGGAAGCTTTTCATCCTTCATCCTTCTATGCCTTGTAGGAAACCAGAGACTGGCCTGAAGGTCAACACTCCATTTCGGCAGCACCTTGGTTTACAAAACACCTTCACATTCATTGTGCTTCCCATTATCTCACTAAATGTTCCCAGGACTGAGTGAGAGAGGACATATCACCCCCAGTTGGAAGGCTGGGGACCTAGATTCCTTAGTCTGTGTGGCCTACAGAACATTCCTGGGGTTTTCAGTGGGAGAAGAGCAGGTCAGTCCACCCCAAATCCCTGGGGCCCCCAGGTACATGCTAAGCAAACACGCAGATTTTCAGAGATGTACGTTTCCATGGCTGAATGGTGCCCTGGACAAGCCATTTAACCTCCTGGATAGCAGAAAAGAGTGCTGATAATTCTCACCCTCACTGGGAGGCTCAGGTGAGGAGGCAGATTTAAAAAGTACTTTTGTAAACTGCAAAGCACTCAACACGTGTTGTTAGGTTCATATAGGAAAGGGAGTTGGTTCTAGAAAGACTGACTCCTACCCAGGCCCATCTAGTCCCATCCCCCAACTATTTGCATTCATAGAAGGATAACTTTTCTGAATGGTGGGGTGCCCCACACCAGTGCAGGCCAACATAGGAGGGGAGAGAGGCTAGATGCCCAAGGAAGGAGTGGTGGTGAGGACCATGCAGCCAAGCAGTCCTCAGTGTCCAGGGCTGAAGGACACATGGAGTCTGGTTGTGGAGAGATCGAAAGGTTAGAAAAGCCATTATCTATTCAGGGAGTCATGGGACAGCTGCCATGTTTGGGGGATAGAGCAAGCCAGCCTGGGATCTGGCTTGGCAAGGTTTGAAAACCATAATTCTTTAGGGTGCAGGCAGGCTACTGGGAGAGGGAGCATGGTGATGCTGTCTCCTCACCTGGACTACTTAGGATCCTATTATTTCAACAAGCATTTGCTGGGCCCCTGCTCTATGGCTGAGGGACCAACCTGGATCTAGCACATACCTGGCCCTGAAAAGAAGCCACAGCTGGGTGGAGCAAAGGCTATACTCCCACAGTTAAGCATGGTAAGAAAGGAATTCACTATGTAGCCAAGGCTGGCTTCAAACTCATGATTCTCCTGCTTCAGCCTCCTGAGTGCTGGCATTATAGGTGTGTGCCTGGTTAAGAAAGAAACTATCATTGTGTGCTGATGGCTCACGCCTGTAATCCTAGCTACTCAGGAGGCAGAGATCAGGAGGATCATGGTTCGAAGCCAGCATGGGCAAATCATTTGCGAGACCTTATCTCAAAAAACCCTTTATAAGAATAGGGCTGATGGAGTGGCTCAAGGTGAAAGCCCTTAGTTCAAGCCCCAGTACTGCAAAAAAAAAGAAAGAAACTTTCTAGATTTTCAAAAATATATGGAAGAAGCCATTCATTCTGTGTGGTGGAACTTCAGTGGGGCACTTGAGCTGGACTTTGAAAGAGACCTATGCTTGCCAGAGTCTGGGGCACAGACAGCATAAGGGTTGGGACACAGAGCAGGGACCTGCTGGGGCGCTCTCATCACAGGAGAAATGGCAATTTCTCTTCCTGTCTGCCAACATATACTAAGAGACCTGGGAGCACAGTCAGAGACTCAGAGCGGGCTCAGGAGTGGCTCTTAGGTTGGATGGAAAGGGAGGGGCTTGATTGCTGGATGATGGCAGCTCTCAGAAGGGATATGTCTGCTCTGTTCTCCAGTTCCCTCTGAGCTGGAGGGATGGAGGGTGGCCAGGATGGCTGGCAGGTCAAAGCTCCTGCCTTGAACAGCAAAACAGCTGAGCCTAGTTCCCTAAGCTGGGATGGGTCTTGAGGGTCCTTCTAAGGAATGGGTTTATGCCACAGCCAAGCACAGGGTACTCTGAGCTGTACCTGGAGGGGTCGCTAACTGGTCCCTCTCTGCTAGCAAGAAGGTAATTTTGCTCTCCTTTCAATCATTCCCTGAAAAATTAGGGACTAGTTATCCAAGGGGGAAAACACAGTGGAGCTTCCCAAAGGAACTGAGGGGGTGGGAGAAGTCTCTAGAACTTGTTTTGCCTTGAAACTCTTTCTAACAGTATTGGGGGCGAAAGGGTCTAACTTGTCATTGAAGGGCCTCTCGTGAAACGGCAGCCTTGTTCCCTAACAATCACTGCGGAGTTGGGTCCCCCAGAGCATGGGACTTTCCTGGACCCTGTCCACAGAGGGGTTGCTTCCAGGACAGAAGGGTTCTATAATGGACAGTAACCTGCTTCCAAATGACAGTCACGACGTGAAGAGGACATCTCTCACCATGAGGGTTGACTTTTTTTCTACCACCCCAATGTGGCTGGAATTCATCCTCTTGGTCCCTCACCCACCCAAGTCACTGTGCTTGGCTGGTTCTAGACCTGAAGCCAATACTTTCTGAAAAGCCACTGAGAGAAATGATGTCAAATTAGAGCTCTGTTTAACAGATTCTTTGCAGCTCCCAGCTGATAACAAGTGTGTCTAGACACATCTACTTGGGACTTTCACTGTGTAATTCATTTGCTCTGCCTAAGGGGTCCATAAGGTCAGACATAGGGGCTTCAAACTCTCCTTCTCACTTGGGAACACTAATTGCTCTGGTCCAGGCCACCATGCTTCCAACTCACACTATCCTGCTTGCCTGGTACTTTTCTGCTTCTTATGTCTTTCCCTCTGAAGCCCCTCCACTCCCCTAGCAAGGGCCTTTACCATGGGGTCAACACCCCACCCTTGCAGAAGTCCACTCTGAGGCCACAGGCCATCTGGACGGAAGGCTGAAGATGGGATTCCTGTTTTGGAGTCAAGGCCAAAGCAAAGCAAACCAAATGATCTCTGAGGCTCCTGTCTGCTTCAAGGCTCTAAGAGCCTAACTTAGTTATTTGTTAATTATTTCTTAATTAGTAACAAACCAAACATTGCAGCAACAGTTACTGAAATAAATGAGGCTAATCTGTTAAATATACCCAAGTAGCACATGATTGGGGTGGGAGGTTCATGTCTGCCTTTTTGTATTTCCACTTCATTCGCAGAGAATGGCCGGGAGGAAATACACACGATGTTCTTGGGTTTTAACCAGGCTCTCGGAGGCCCCTGCAGAACCAAGTCTCTACTTCCTCTCCACAGTTCTTAGTTTTAGGATTGCTGGTGCCCCACTCCCTGCCCTGCCCCAGACATAGCAGCTTTACCCCAGTGGGTATTTCCTGTAAGCCCAGAATAACAGGTGCCATTTGCCACATTTCAGATGTCATATGTCCACTGATAGCTTGCAAACAGGGCGGGTCACCAAGAGGTGTGTGTGATGAAGGCAGGCAAGAACTGGCTTCAGGAAACAGATGCTCTGCAGAACACAGAGACAATGAATGGGAATTATCAGCAGCTGTGGCTCTCTACAGACAGGAGCCTGGGACTCTCTTCAGTCCTGAAGGCTTCTTTTTGGAGGACATAGTGGCCTTCAGGACAGAGCATGTCCAGAGTGGGAGAGCTTTTTAGCACCGATCATGCAGGGTGGGGGGCTGCCCCCCGCGGGCTGGGCTGCTGGGAGGGTCTCCTGGGAGGACTGTTCTATTAGGGGTCTGGCTCTCCGCCGTGCTGCTGTTCCGCTGTACACCAGGCGCTTTTCATCCAGCAGGGACAGGTGGTATTCACACAGGTCGATCAGAGAGGCCACCTGCTCGTGGAGTGGCCTTGTCTTGAACTTCCTCTGGGCCAGGAAGAAGAAAGCTTCTACAAAGGCCTGCAGACACATCCCTGTGGAGAGAAAGATAGCCTCAGGGTGTTGCAATGCTCCAGAAAGGTTCAACCCCAGCACGAGACTGCTCCAGGACCCCGCGTCTGTCCCCACTGCGTGTCCATTCTGGAAGCTCTGCCTGAGCCAATTCACAGAACGCTTACCAGGCCCAGGCACTATGTTTGAGTTACAGTCCTGTGGAGTAGGTTTAACCCTCTTTTATACATATGGAAACTGAGTCTCAGAGAAGTGGGGAAATCCAAGTAGAAAGTGATTTCTAGGTACCACAACAAAATTTTCCCATTAAGACCCAGCTCCATCATATATGAAAATGGAAAAATGAGACCTGTTGAAACTTTTCTAAGAAGGGGAGAAGGGGGGATAAAGGGAATGATGGAGGGGGTGAATTTAACTAAGATATACTGTAAGCACTTTTGTAAATGTCACGATGTACCTCAGTACAATAGTAATAAATAAAATAAAATATTTTATACTATTATATTATATATAATATTATATATTATATTAGTAATGATAATAAAAAATCTTACCCCACCACTGCCTAACTTTCATAATTGGAGGGGTGAGCTATTATAATTATAAACCCAATCTGGTGTTCTATATGAAGATAGGAGTGGTGGTTACACTGGAAGGTGCATTTAGAGTTTATGGGTTTTGCTGTATGTAAATTTTATCTCCAAAAGTAAAGCCTTCTCTCCGACCAAAGTTATACTTTGGAGTGTAAGATGCAGATTCCCCCCCACCCCCATTCCCCGCCCGAGCCCCAGGATGTTCTTCCCCTGCTTTGCCTCTGACCCATCTTTGGGATCTGAGCTCACCACTACTTGTTCAGCAAAGCTTTCCTGCATGCTGGGCAAGTGCTCTACCACTGAGCCAGTTCCCCAGACTCTCTATATGAACAGAGGCCTGGTGTGCACAGACGAAGGGAAACGGGGGGTTTCTGTCCAACTCAGGGGGCGGTCAACCCTCTGCCAGGCTCTCCTGGGGGATGTGGGCGTTGTGTGTATGAACATGTATATGCCTGTGCATTTGAGACATGCACACATACATACTTGCATGTCACGATTGGGTGGGTCACATACACAGAATGGAAGAGGCTGAGATCCAACGGCAGAGAAACCCAGTCCCAGCCCCCATGTTCCAACTGTGTGATCTAAACAGTGCCTGCTCTGAGTGTGGCCCGCTGAGGATGCCAAGTCCACGAACAGCGCGTCCCTGGTCCTTGACAAGATAAGGAGCTTGGGCCAGAATGTAAATCATCCACCTCATCAATCACATTGTTTAGTTCAGCTGACAGTATTGTGGAGCAAGTCTCTCTATAAAGGAAGCAATAGGCTATTTACACTGCGGCTCAGGCCAACAGTTGGTGGACTGCAACTGTGCGTGGCTCTGTCTACACCACTCAGCGATATTCATTACTGAGCTTTCTAATTATCACGATCTTGTTAAAATGTGGATTCTGGGATGGGGCCAAAGACACACCTATTGTTAGCTTCGTGATGGCGCGTAGCGCTGCTGGTTCCTGGGTCACTCTGAGTAGAAGGATGGAGTAAGTCACTGAATTGTTTTACACAAAACACACATTACTTTTGTCCCCTTCACTGAAGGCAGACTGTGGTTACAGCTATGATGCACAGAAAAAAATGCACTAAGGACTTATTTGGGGAGAAAAGTTTGGCTGAATTATCTGGAAGAAGACATTTTAAAAAGAAAAGTGGAATTTAATATTTTTCTGGTTTGTCTACATTTTCTGTAACGAACAGGTATGCAATTTTTAAATATGCAATGGGGGATTCTGGTGGGTGGAAAGAGGTGATGTAGGTGCAGCTGCTTCTGTTATGAACCCTTTGCTGAGATCTTAATTTGAAGTCAGGTACATGTTTCACTTTGAAAAAAATATAATGCAAACTTTATATGCTATATATATTCTACTTTGATAAAATGCTTAAAATAATATATATATACATGCACACACACATATAATTGTCCTCCTCCTTTATTCTCTGGGGATGTTTCAAGTTCTTCCCCTCACCTGCCCCCTCGCCCCTGCCCAGTGAATGCCTTGAAACCTCTGATAGCACCAAACTGTATACCGAATATTTTAAATTTTTTCCTGTATGCTCTGCAGCATTGCCATATATCACAAGAGTTCATTTGTCTCTCTGGTGTCTTCTTTGCATCACTACTCTTGAGTTTTGGGGCCATTATTAAGTAAATAAGGGTTACTTGAACAATGGCACTGCGATACTGTTACAGTTGTTTTTGTAACAGATGGCTACTAAGTGACTGATGGGCTGGTTGCCTATACAGAGTGGATACAGAGGACAAAGAGATGATTCCCAGCCAGAGTGGGATGATGCTGGATGGCCTGGTATTCCATCCTGCTATTCAGATGCACAGTTTATAACTTATGAATTGTTTATTTCTGGAATTTTCCATTTAATATTTTTAGACTGATATTGACTAAAACTGTAGAAACTGTAGAAAGCAGCAAGACTTCGGAGACTGGGGAGATCACTGTAAAGGGAAAGAAGCAGTGAAGGGTAATGGACATTGATGGTTCTATGTGAGCCAGGTACACTATGACAGGTACCCCGATTCTCACCACAACTCCCATTGTGCAGAAGAGAAAACTAAGGCCCAGAGTAAGGAACAGCTTGCTTTTAGGTTCCACATTGGTAAGTGGCAGGGCCACGATTTGAACACAGTCCTTATGCCATGTGGCTTCTGCACCTTATTTTGCATCCTCTTCCCCCAGTCTCCCCACCAAGAGCACTCTTGGGGTGAGGACACAGTTGTAGAGGGCAGACAGGCTCAGAGGGAAATGTGAGGCACTCACAGGATGCAGCCCAGGACATACTTGGAGGGTCTGGGGTGGGGTCAAAGAAGCCATGTGGGGAAGGGGACATTTGAGTTGGGCTTTGAAGAGGAGTGAGGGCCTTTGACAAGCAGAGCTGAGCCAGGGTTGGCGGCCTGGGCTGAGGGCAGGAAGGACAAAGCAGGGAGGCAGAGCATATGTCACCCATGGATGACACAGGACACCTGCAGCAGGCACTGCTGAAGAGGCCAGCTTCACCAGGCTGGCCTCATGGGCGAGAGTTCATGCTAGAGCAGATGAACGTGCACTCCAGTGAAGGTGCTGGAGTCATGGAGCCCCACATCTAGCATAGCCTCAGCACACTTTCAGGCCTGTGATTTCTAACTGATTTCTTCTATGGTGATAGAAACTTGGGGTTTTTTTCTATCTCCTTGTTTTTATTTATTCCTCACCTAAAATCTTAAGAAGGGGCCCAGCCCAATATGCAGCTAAGTCAGGTGGGTGGTGGCTCAGAGTCCTGCCCACACTTCAGCATCTTCCCAGCAACAAGGCCACCGTCATTTCCTAGGAACCTTGCCAACATCTTCATTTTACCACAGGGCTGGGGCACATGATCCAAGTCAACAAAGACGGGACCAACCCCAGGTCTCACATGAGCTTGGATTACCCTCAAACTGCATGACACCCTGCCCCCCAGATAAAAATGGAAAGAAAAAAAAACAAACCAAGACAAACACTTCTTAGACAGGGGGCTGGAGAAAAAGGCCATCTCAACTGACTCACATCCCTGCATACTTTGCTCAGCCCTGTGACATGGGTCCCAGAGAATGGAGGTGACGAGGGTTGAGAAGAGGGCACACCCCAAACTGTACCACAAGCACAGGGGGTGTCTGCCCCGCAACGGCCCCTTAGAAAGGGCTGTGCTTCTGAATTTGACAAGAGGTTGGGTTTGGTCCTCACTCTATCAAGGTGGTCCAGGAAGTAATAGTTTGACCTAGGTCAATATTCAGTGAGCTTCAGAGAGTGGATCTTTCTACAGCTTTGAGGGGGTGAAGGGAGGAGGAGGTGAGCAGGGGGGAGTTAGCACTGGATTCAGGAGTAAGGTGCTGGGGTTTTTACTGGAGAGGGGAGCCTGGGATTGGGCAAAGGGGCAACGCCTACATGGCTAGAGGTTCCAGCCTTTTCCAGAGCCTTCCCAAATAGTCTGTGTGTTCTGTCAGGTGGACCTGGGTCTTTTTCCTGCCTTGTTATTACTTATTATAAAGTGCAGTGAGAATATTGGCAGAGAGCATGGTAGAGTTCAGGCCTTATTTTCCCTCTAGAGCTCGAGTATCTTCATCAACTGACCTTCCGATCACAATCTGTCCTCGGGAAGCTGTGTATCACTTGCCTGCCATAGCTACACATGCAGAATTTCATTTTATTTAAAATTAAAAACATTTTTGTAGGTTGCTACGCAGCCTTGCAATATTCCATGAAGGACAGGTGTGCTGGCCTGCACCTACAGTCCCAGCTCTTGGAGGCTGGAGTGGGAGGATGTCTTGAGCTCAGGAGTTTGTGGCCAGCCTAGGCAACATGGTGAGACCCCATCTTAAAAAAACAAGTAAACATTCCATCAAGTTTTTGCTTTGTAAATCATTGCTCCACCCCTCCCCGCTGAACACTGTTTATCTTTGCTCACTCTTCTTGAGAATGGTATAACAAATAGTCAGTACGTCACTGTTTTTATTTCTGATTCATTTATTTTCTAACAAAACCCCAGGAATCTGGGTTGTTGTTGTTTTTAATAAATGTTAGATTGCTTTGGCAATTAATTTCATGTAGAGTGTCCAAATACACAAAGCACATGAATGCACAAGTAAGAGAGAAAACAACCAGCACCCTGGAAGTCATGAGGAGATTGTTTACTCACTAAGGTAATAAAAGTGAAAATAAGGGTACAGTCAACTGGTGGTGCAATAGCTGTAGACTTTTGGGGTTTTTTTTTTTTAGCAATACTGAGGTTAGGCCTTGTGCTTTTTAGGCAGACACTTCAACACTTGAGCCTTGAGCCACACTCCTGGCCCCTTTTTGCTTTAGTTTAGTATCTTGTGTTTTTGCCTGGACTGGTCTGGAACCATGATCCTCCTACTTATGCCTCCTGTGTAGCTGGGATTACAGATGTGAACCACCACAGCTGGC